AAAATCACTTGCCCCTTATAACTGTTGGTTCAAGCTTAACCCTTTCCCCCATGAGCATATTGTGAAAAATGGCCGTTTTCACTGAAAAGCCTCCTGTTACAAGTTCAAACTGCTATGAAACTATGAAAAATGCTTCAATACTAATCAAACTTGGCACAAATGTTGACTGGACCACTGCCTTTGTAACGACATGCTCAGTCTTAAATTTCCTGTTACCATGGCAACGAGGGACATCTCAAAATTGCCAAAATCACTATTTTTGCCTCGATTTTTCCATCAAAATTTATTTCAAAGTGCTGCAACTTCTCAAGGATTGAGATAGACTCAAAGGCTTTTCCAGCGTTGGTTACACGTTACATTATGATCGACCTGGGGTCATTTTTAGCCTCTCACAAGTCCAAAATTTTCTTGGCGATGAGGGGGACTCCGCCCCCTTCAAACCCCCCTAACAGAAGGGGGCACATCCCCCTTCTGGCAACCCCCTGACGTATCTTTTGGATGGGGGGCGGCGCCGAAAAAGTGCTCATTTTTTTTAGCAACATTTCTCAAACGAAAACATGTGTTTGGGGCCCAAATAGGACATTTTTTCACTATTTGAGGCCTAAAAAAGGGGGGGGGTCGAAAGTGCGTTGTTTCGCGTATATATGTGGTAAAGGGTTAAAGTATTTGTTGAACCTTTCTGGCTTCATTATAGAAGGTCTTTGGTTCTTCTCTATTTATGCCTGAAATATTGCAGGGGGGATATTGTTTGGTCTTCCTCCCCTAGTGAATCTGGAAAGTGGCCAAATTTGATATTTTAGATTATATTCTAAATATTAAAGGTTATACATATGAGCGTCTGGATGGGTCAGTGAGAGGAGAGGAACGTTTCTTGGCTGTTCAAAACTTTAACAGTAACGATGAAACTTTTGTCTTTCTTCTGAGCACAAGAGCTGGTAATTTATAACTGGAATCATCCTACTCTGTTTACTTTAATTATACATCATTGTAGATTTCTCTCATAAAGCATGGTGCATGAGTGTAAGAAACTGATTTCATAAAAACGATATTACACTTTGATGTGACATCATTTGTGTATATACAATTCTAACACTATTGGAATTTTTTCTATATAAACAAAGAAGGCCAGAAGCATGCATTATTCTACAACAATGCACTCAATGTTCTTATTACCTCCCTGTGTATTTTTAAACCAACACATTGACAGCACCATTTTGTTTAAAAAATCTGATAAATATTAAACATTTTTTTGTCGAATTGTGTTGTGAAAACTATCTAGAATAAAAGAAAATGGTCTAACTAAGAAAATGAATCCGAACACAAATATCTTTAACTCAGTTTTTAACGTTGTACAGACGTTTAAAGTGTTGTTTACGTGACATCACAATGTAGCGCCAAACAGCAGATGCAAAAAACAATCAAATCAAGAACGCTATTTCAATGTCGAAAACGAGTTCAATTTCACACTATAGTCTTATTTCTATGCCAACTGACACCATTATACATATTTAAGGTGGACAGGGTATAAATTTGACCAGTGCTGATACTGTGATATTTGTGGACAGTGACTTTAACCCACAGAATGACCTTCAAGCTGCTGCCAGGGCACATAGGATAGGACAGTCAAGGTCAGTATTGTAATAATGGATAGGAGTCACGGTCAGTATTGTAATAATGGATAGAAGTCAAGGTCAGTATTGTAATTAGGGATAGGAGTCAAGGTCAGTATTGTAATTAGGGATAGGAGTCAAGGTCAGTATTGTAATAATGGATAGGAGTCAAGGTCAGTATTGTAATTATGGATAGTAGTCAAGGTCAGTATTGTAATAATGGATAGGAGTCACGGTCAGTATTGTAATTAGGGATAGGAGTCAAGGTCAGTATTGTTAATTAGGGATAGGAGTCAAGGGTCAGTATTGTAAATTAGGGGATAGGAGCCAAGGTCAGTATTGTAATTAGGGATAGGAGTCACACGGTCAGTATTGTAATTATATAGTAGTCAAGTCATATGTAATTATGGATAGGAGTCCAAGGTCAGTATTGTAATTAGGAATAGGAGTCAAGGTCAGTATTTGTAATTAGGGATAGGAGTCAAAAGTCAGTATTGTAAATTAGGGATAGGAGTCACAAGGTCAGTATTGTTAATTAGGTTAAAGGGTTTCGTATTGAAATTATGGTTTAGGAGTAAGGTAAGTTTTAAAATGGATAGGAGTAAAGAAAAGTATTGTAAAAATGGTAGAATTTCAAGATAAAGTATTGTAAAAGGGTTTTGGGGAGAAGGGGTTCATATTGAAATTTTAAATGGATGGGATCAAGGTCAGTATTTTTAATTTTAATGGATGGGAGCCCAAGGGTCAGAAATTGTTTTAGGGTGGAGTAAGGGTAGTTTTTGTAAAAAGGGGGGAAAAGGAAGGTCAGTTTTGGGAAAGGGAAGGAGTCAAGGCAGTATTTTTTTAAGGGTTTAAGGGTTCCAAGGTCTTTATTGGGAATTTGGATAGGGGCCCAAGGTCGTATTGAAATTAGGGAAAGGAAAAAAGGTAATTTATTTAATTAGGGAAAAGGATCGGGGTAAAGTTTGTAATTAGGGAATAGGGGGCCCAAGGTCGGGTTTTGTAAATGGTTTAAAAAAGTCAGGGGTTCAGTTTTTTAAATTTGGGGAAGGATTTAAAGGGTCAGTATTGAAATTTGGGGGAAAGTGCAATGTCAGTTTTTGAAATTTTTAGGGTTTGGGGACCCCAAGTGAATTTGGTTTGGGGTTTGGGGTAAAATCATTTTTTTAATTAAAGGGTTTGGATTTTCAATTTTTAATATAAGGAAAAGGAAGTAAGGTAAGTTGAAATTTAAAGGGATAGGAGTCAAGTCAGAAATTGAAATTTAAATGGATAGGGGGTAAAGGTTTCGGGTATTGTAATTTTTTGGATGGGGAAAAGGGTCAGAAATTGAAAATTGGGGATAGGAGTCAAGGCCCATTTTTTGAAAATTAGGGATAGGATTTAAAGGTTTCGTATTGAAAATTAGGGGAGGAAAATTTAAAGTCACTTTTGGGTAAAAAGGGGAAAAGGATAGGTCGTATTGAAATTAGGGTTTGGGATAAAGGGGTTCAGTATTGTTTTTTTAGGTAGGATTTCAAGGTCAGTATTGTAAAAAGGGTTTGGGAAAGTAAAGGTAGTATTTTTAGGGATAGTAGTCAAGGTCGTAGGGTAATTAGGGGATAGGATCAAGGTCAGTATTGAAATTTTGGGATAGGAGTACGGGTAAAGTTTTTAAATTTTAGGATGGGAAATAAAGGGTCGGATTGTAATTAGGGATAGGACCCAAAGGTCGTTTTGGTTTTAATTGGGGATAACAGGTCAGTTTTGAAATTTGGGATAGTAGTAAAGGGGTTATTGTATTTAGGGATGGGATCCGGTCATATTTTAATTATGGTTTGGGAGCCCAATCGATTGAAATTAAATGGATGGGGGTCAAGGGGGTATTGAAAATTGGGGATAGGAGCCCGGGTAAAGTATTGAATTAGGTTTGGATAAGGTCAGTATTGAAATAAGGATAGAAGTCAAGGTCTATTGAAAATTATGGTTTAAGAAAAGGTCAGTTTTTGTAATTATGGATGGGCCCAAGGGCCCGTATTGTAATTATGGATAGGTAAAGGCCCGTTTTGTAATTATGTAGGAGTAAAAGATCAGTATTGAAAGGGGGAAGTAGTCAAGGTCAGTATTGTAATTTGGTAGGAGTCAAGGGTCATTTATTGAAATTAGGGAAAGGGACGGGTTTCAGTATTGAAATTTAGGGTGGGGGCCCGAATCAGTTTTTGTAAAAGGGTGGGGGGTAAAGGGTTTAGATTGTAAAAAGGGGATGGAGTCAAGGCCCAGTTTTGTAAAAAGGGGGATGGGAGTCAAGGTCAGTTTTTTGAAATTGGGATGGGAGTCAGGGTCAGTTTTGGGTAATTAGGGTTTAGGATAAAGGGTCAGTATTGAAATTGGGATGGGAGTAAAGGGTTTCGATATGTATAAGGGATAGGATCACGGTCAGTTTTTGAAATTTGGTTTGGGAAAGCCCAAGGTCAGAAATTTAAAAGGGATAGGAGCAAGGTCATATTGTAAAAAAGGGTAGGAGCCCAAGGTCATATTGTAATTGGGTGGGGTCAGGGAGTATTTAATTGGGGATGGGATTTCAAGGTCGTATTGAAAATTGGGGTTTAAGGGGGTCAATGTCATATTGTAATTAGGGATAGGAGTCAAGTAGTATTGTAATAATGGAAGGGTCAAAAATCAGTATTTAAAAGGGTTTAGGAGTAAAGGTCATATTTTTAATTATGGATGGGAGTAAAGGGTTTCAGTATTGTAATTATGGTAGGAGTAAAGGTCAGTTTTGTAAAAAGGGTTGGGAGTCAAGGTCAGATGAAATTTGGGGGATGGGAAGTCAGGGTTTCAGAAATTGTAATTAGGGAAAAGGGGTCACGGTAGTTTTGGAATTAGGGATAGTAGTCAAGGTCAGTATTTGTAATTAGGGATAGGAGCAAGGTCCAAGTATTTTTAATTGGGGGTATAGTCAAGGTCAGTTTGAAATTTAGGGAGGATTCCCCCGGTTTCAGTTTTGTAATTATGGTAGGAGTAAAGGTCGAAATTGAAATTTGGGGAAAAAGGAGTCCCCGGTCATATTGTAATTGGGGTAGGAGTCAGGGCCCAGTTTTGAATTAGGGTAAAGTCAAGATCAGTTTTGTAATTAGGGATAGAGTAAAGGCAGTTTTGGGTTTAGGGATAGGGTAAGGCCAGTATTTGTAATTATGGATGGGAGTCAAGGTCAGTATTGTAATTAGGGTTGGGGTAAAGGCCCAGTATTGTAATTGGGGAAAATAGGATGAAAAGGGGTCAGTTTTGTAATTAGGGTTTGGAGTCACGGTCAGTTTTTGAAATTTGGGGATAGGAGCCCACGGTCAGATTGTAATTATGGATAGAATTCAAGATCGGGTATTGAAAATTGGGATAAGTCAAGGTCGTTTTGGGTTTTTAGGGATAGGAGTCACGGCCCAGTATTGTAAAAATGGATTAAAAGGTCATTTTTGTAATTATGGTGGGGTCAAGGCGTTTTGAAATTTAATGGATAGGAGTAAAGGTCGTTTTTAAAAAGGGGAAGGAGTAAAATTCCTATTGAAATAGGGATAGGATTTCACGGCCCAGTATTGTAATTTGGATAGGACCCAAGGTCAGTTTTTTTTTTTAAAATTTTTGGATAGGAGTAAAAGGTCAGTATTGAAATTTGGATAGGAGTAAAGATCAGTTTTTGTAAAAAAGGGAATTAAGTCAAATCATTTATTGTAAAAAGGGATGGGGAGTCAGGTCAGTTTTGTATTATGGAAAAGGGTAAATTTTTCAGTTTTGGGTAATTAGGGGAAGATTTAAAGGTCAGTATTTTTTTATTGATGGGGATCAAGGTTAGATTGGTAAAAGGTGGGACCCAAGGTCAGTATTGAAATTTAAGGATAGGAGTCAAGGTCAGTTTTTGAATTTTAGGGGAAGGGGTAAGGTAGAAATTTTTTAATTAGGTGGAGTAAAGGTCAGTTTTTGAAATTAGGGAAAAGGAGTCAAGGTCGTATTTAATTAGGGATGGGGAGTCACGGTCAGTTTTTAATTATGGATGGGAGTAAGGTCAGTATTGTAAAAAATGGATAGGAGAAAGGTCTTTTTTAAATTTTAAGGGATAGGAGTAAAAGGTCATATTGAAATGGGGATATAGTCAATTTCCCGTTTTTAAATTTAGGGATAGGACCCCGGGCGGGTATTGAAATTGGGGTGGGATCAAGGTCAGTTTTTGTAATTGGGGAAATGGGAGCAATGTCACTTTTTGTAAAAACGGTTTGGGGTTTCCAGGTCGAAATTGTAAATTAGGGATAGGAGCCCAACCCTCAGTATTTAATTTTTGGTTTAAGGAGTCAATTTTCAGTATTGTAATTATGGATAGGAGTCAAGGTCAGTTTTGAAATTTAAAGGGATGGAGTAAGGGTCATTTTGAAATTTAGGGATGGGGGCAAGGTCATTATTGAAAATTAAAAGGGAAATAGGAGTCAATGCCCTTTTGAATAGGGATAGGATACGGTCATTTGTAATTAGGGATAGGATAAAGGGTCAGAAATTGAATTGGGATGGGGTTTCAAGTCAGTATTGTAATAAGGGATAGGAGTCAAGGTCAGTATTGTAATTAGGTTTAGTAGTAAAGGTTTAAGTATTGTAATTAGGATGGGTTTTTAAAGGGTTGTATTGAAATTATGGATAGGAGTCAGGGGTCAGTTTGAAATTAGGGATGGGAAGCCCAAGGTCAGTTTTGGGAAATTGGGGGGTGGACCCAAGTAGTATTGAAATTGGGGATAGGAGTCAGGGGTCGTATTGAATTTGGGGGATAAAAATTTAAAAGGTTTCATTTATTGTAATTGGGGAAGGAACCCGGGTCATTTTTGGGAAATTTTGGGATAGGAGTAAAGGTCAGTATTGAAATTTAAATGGTAGGAGTCAAGGCAGTATTGTAATTGGGGATGGGAGTCAGGGCCCAGTTTTGGGTAATTAGGGTTGGGGTAAAGGGTTTCGTATTGTAATAATGGATAGAAGTAAAGGTTTCAGTTTTTTGGATAGAAATGGTGGGGGTATGCCCAAGGTCTTTGGGTAATTATGGTTTAGGAGTCACTTTTTCGGGTTTGAAATTTATGGATGGGGATTCAAGTCGTTTTGGGGGTTTAATTTGGGGAAGTAGTCATTAGTATTGAAATTTTATGGATAGGAGTCAAGGTAAGTTTTTGAAATTTAGGATGGGAAGTAAAGGGGTATATTGAAAATTATGGTAGGAGTAAAGGATCATATTGTAAAAATGGATAGGGTAAGGTCAGTATTGTAAAAGGGGATAGGGGGTAAAGGTCAGTTTGAATTAAGGGGAAAAGGAGTAAAGGGTCGGGTTTTTAAATTTTAGGGATGGAGTCCGTCAGTATTGTAATTGGGATGGGAGTAAAGGGTCAGTATTGAAATTGGGATGGAAATTTAAAGGTCGGGTTTTGTAAAAAGGGGATAGTACCCGGGTTTCAGTATTGTAATTATGGTAGGATCAAGGTCAGTATTGTTTTTTTTAAATTTGGTGGGAAATTAAAGGGTCGGGTTTTAATAAGGGATAGGATTTCAAGGTCGGGTATTGAAATTTGGGGGAAAAGGGGTCGGTCAGAAATTGAAATTTAAAGGATAGGGTAAGGTCAGTATTGAAATTTGGGGAATAGGAGCCCAATTCAGTTTGTAATTATGGAAGGAGTAAAAGATCGTTTTTGTAAAAAATGGATAGGTCCAAGATCAGTATTTAATAAGGGGTTTAGGGTAAATCAGTATTGAATTTAATGGATAGGGGGGCCCAAGGTCAGTATTGAAAATTTAGGGTTTGGAGTAAAGGGTTCAGTTTTGGGTAAAAAGGGATAGGAGTAAAAGGTCAGTTTTGGAAATTATGGATAGGATAGGTCAGTTTTGAAATTGGGGGATAGGGGTCCGGTCAGTATTGTAATTTAGGGATATAGTCAAGGCCCAGTTTTGTAATTAGGGATAGGAGTAAAGGGTTTAAAGTTTGGGTAATTAGGGTTTAGTAGTCAAGGGTCAGTTTTTGAAATTTGGGGAAAAGGATCACGGTTGTTTTGGTACTTGGGGAAAGGAGTAAATCGATTGAAATTTTGGGGAAAAGGGGTCACGGCGTATTGAAATTAGGGGTAGTCAGGGGAGTATTGAAATTAGGGATGGGAAATTTTGGTCATTTGAATTTGGGGATAGAGTCAAGGTCAGAAAATTGAAATTTGGATAGGAGTCAAGGTATTTATTGAAATTGGGAAAAGGGAGTTAAGGTCGGGATTGTAATAAGGATAAAGTAAAGGGTCAGTATTGAATTAGGGATGGAGTCAGGGGCAGTATTGAAATTTAGGGATAGGAGTCAAGGTATTTGAAATTTTAGGGATAGGACCCAAAGGGTCAGAAATTGAAATTTAGGGATAGGATCACGGTCGTTTTGAATTGGGGATAGTAGTAATCATATTTTTTAAATTAGGGTTTAAAAGTCAAGATAGTATTGTTTTTAATATAGAGTCATGTCACTATTTAAAAAGGGATGGAGCCCAGGTCATTTATTTTTTAATTAGGGAAAGAGTCAAGGTAGTATTTAATTATGGTTTATTTAGTAAAGGTTTCAGTATTGTAATTAGGGAAAGTGTAAAAGGTTTCGTATTTTTAATTTAGGGATGGGAGTAAAGGGGTCAGTTTGAAATTGGGGATTAGTCAATGTCAGAAATTGTAAAAGGGATAGGAGTAAAGGTCAGTATTGTTATTAGGGATGGGAAAGTCAAGGTCATATTGAAATTAGGATAGTAGTCAAGGTCAGTATTGTTATTAGATTAGAGTAAATGTCCATTTGTAAAAGGGGAAAGGGGAAAGCCCAGGGTATTTAATTGTAATTGGGGATAAAAGGTAAAGGTTTCCAGTATTGTAATTATGGATAGGGTAAAGGGTCAGTTTTGAAATTAGGGATAGTATAAAAGGCAGTATTGAATAATGGTGGGGAGTCAAGGTCAGTTTTGGGTTAATTTTTTGGGGGGGATGGGAGTAAAAGGTCGTATTTAAAATTATGGATAGAGTCAAGGTCAGATTGAAATTTTGGGGGATAGAGTAAAGGGTTTCAGTATTTTTAATTGGGGATAGGTCAGGGGTCTTTTTAATTTTGGGATGGAGCCCAAGGTCAGAAATTGTTATTAAGGGGGGATAGAAATTTTATACTGAAATAAGTTTCAATTTTTTTCATACATGTATTTGAATTCTTTGAATATTCAATTTCTTTTAAAAAGTTATACATGTATAAGTGGTCAAAACTTTGTTGTCCAAATACTGGTACAGTTTAATTCAACTATAAAATGTTTTAGAAACTGCTGAATTAATTTTAACATTATATGGCCTTAAGTGAGAGATTTTCTGTGAGATATATATACTTAGAGTTATATGATATTCATTTGTATTTGGTATAAAGCATTGGTTGAATGTTGAGAATAGTAACATGTTCATGTATGCGATTATTAATTAACCATAAGCTTGCTGGTTACATCAGATTCTACCATTGTGACCAGCACAGACCAAGATCACCCAGCACAGCACATCTGAATGAACTGATCCTGGTCTGCACTTAGAGCTTTTCAGTTAGTACTTATTTTGAAAAAAGTACTGTACATATTTGTTTGTTTTTCATGTAACAAAGATCGAAATATATTTCACTGAGTGAACACCAGATGCAATATTTTACAAGTAACATACCATTTATTTAGACATTTGATTTTATCCACATTAAAATATAGTCTTGCTTTTTTTTAAAAAAATGATATTTTGAATTTCACTATCCGAAAATATTGGGGAAAAAACATAAAATTTGAACTTAATTTTACAGACCAGAAAAGGTTCAGATTGGTCAGAAAGAATACAGTGAAGAGTTTTTCAAAGAGAGCGAAGAAAACTAGAGTTAACTAGAAGTAATAAAAAAAGGAGAATTCTCACTGGGGCATCTAAACAAGCTCTTTATTTTAAAAAAAAAGGGACAGATAACATTTCAGTTTGTATCGCTGCCCCTTTGTAAACTTGCTCATAATGATATCCATTTTAATAACAGCTTCTGAGATTTTAGCTTGCAGCCATTTATACTGGGCCATAAATATCATGAGTATATAGAAGATATTGAATGAGTGTAAATTCAATACTGAATTTATTGCATGAGTTGAATAGATTTATATTATGCAAGCCTCTGATGAGCTGAAGTTCAATAAATTGGTAATGAACCTACACAAATATAATATTCTATTTATCAATTCTCAAAATAAAGACTGTTTAAAGTGAAAAAGAGTCAATTATAATCAATGCGCCTATAGTGTAATGCTAACATTTAGTGCGTCTTTACCTTATGTTTGTATAACGCAAATGACGTCAATTCAAAATATATGCATGGCTGTGCAATACCATTTTTACGGAGTCACAAAAGCGGCACAGGTGTGTGATAAAAGGATAAGTATATGGTTAAGTAGTTTAAAAATTCATTTTTTACCCCAATAAAACTAAAGTTACTATATTTAAATTTTATTTGGAAAATTTTTGTTTTTTATATTTTTTTGGGTTTCATTTTTTTTTCGCTTCAGGATATACTAAAAAATGGAGTTGAGAAATTTTAAGTGGTAACCCCTGGAATGATGTTGACCCGGATTTCAAGGCCATTCTTGGACCTACAGCAGACGGTGAATGGCAGCCCGAGGAAACAAAAGTGGATGAAGAAGCTAATGGATCTGAGGTGAGTGTTAATCCATTCTGATTGGTTGTTTTGCTAGTAAGCCAGGTTTTGGCAAGGAAAAAATGGTTGTTAAATTGATGTAAACAGTATGGACAAGCTGGCATAAACAATATCTTTTGTACACAACTTCTACATTTTTTATAGGATTACAACCAAACATTTACAGAATTATTTCACAAAGTGTTTCTGTTTTGTGACTCTTTCATGTCCATTGTTCATTATTTCATGTTTTATGAAAATGTTAAATTTTGAAGAGGTGAACAAAGTGTTTCTTATTATTACAAGGATGAAGGTATATTAGAGGATGCGCCACAGACTATGTACATGTTTGAGGGAACTGACTACTCCAAGGAGCCTACTGCAGCTGATAAAAAAGCCTTTGATGAACTGCTTGAAGGTATTTCCTATATGTTTAAACATTCAAATGATAATTTCCTATATGTTTAAATATTTATTTGATCATGTATGTAGCAGATTTGACAGCTGTAATAGGTATGAGTGCATGACTATTTTAGGCATGGGGTTTTCAGTCACATTGATGGGTAATTTGATTATTTTAGGCATGGGGTTTTAACTCACATTGATTGGTAAATTTACTATTTTAGGCATGGGGATTTAATTCATATTGATAGGTAATTTGATTATTTTAGGCATGTGGTTTAAGTCATATTTATGGGTAATTTGATTATTTTAGGCATGGGGTTTTAAGTCACATTGATGGTTGATTCATTCAGCATTATAGTTTTACGCTTTACCTTGTGTGGAAAGATCCACTGATAACCTTCCTAATATACATTTATTATTTTTGGCCAAGTGACTAACTACCCAAGTAACTTCACAGGAAAAAAAGTTTTCATAAATATAACATGTATTGGCACTAACATCAGTGAGGATGAAATTCAAGTAAATCACTATAGTAAATGGATGTACACTGTAAGTTTTTTTTTTTTTTTTTTTTTTTTTTTTTTTTTTTAATTTTTCAGCAAACATATGTTGCCCATTTATTTTCCCGTAATTGGTGCAGTGGGGTCGGAGGAGCCATCCCCTACTGTACCTTTTACATTATCCAATTCATGACATATATCCATCATACTATATTTTAAAACATTTAAGTGACATTAAGCTCTTTTTTTTTTTCAAAAGTCAAGTTAGATTTATTGACTATTTAAATTTCATTATTGAAAATAATAATGGTGTTTGACAACAGTTGATATAAGAAAAGTTTTGGGATAAAATATATATCTGCCTAAACATAAAGACTGTCCCATACTTTTTATTAAGTATAATTTTTCCCTCTAACCAGTTATTTTTTGAAACTCTTCTTTTATCTTTAGAGGAATCACCATTCGTTATGCGTCTGCATAAGAAAAAAAAAATAAACAATAAATAATAAAGATAAACTTTTAAAAGAAATAAAGAATATTGAGTCCCATCCTAACACTAATTGATGAACTTTTAGGAAAACAAAAGAAAAGAAAACTTTTTAGATTTACGGAAAGAAAAAACATGGAATGGTGTATTTATAAGATCAAGAGCTAAAATGGATACAAGAAGGAGAGAAACCTACAAGATACTTTTGCCAATTTGGAAAACAGAAATTATGTCTCAAAATTTATGAATTCTTTAATAACAGAAACAGGAAAACATTTTACAAAAACAGGAAGAATTACTTACAGAAACAAAGAGGCATTATGAAAATTTATATTAAATTCAAAAAAAATACTGAAACAGTGTGTTTAAGTCAAATTTTGTATAATTACTGACATACCAAAATTACTAGATAATGAGAAACAATCTATTGAGGTGCCCTAACTTACAATGAAATGTTGAAATAGTCTGAAACGCATGTCAAATAATACAAGTCCAGGCAATGCATGGTTTTTACTGTAGAATTTTTTTAAATTTTTCTGGAATGATTTAGGTATAGTTTTTTTAGTTAGATTCAATTAATCATTCATAATAACATAGGTGAACTGTCAGTTAAACTCAAAAAACAAGGTTTTATAACCTTTCGCATTCCAAAGGAAACAAAGATAAATTCCTACTTTGAAAAATTGGAGAACCAATTTTTCACTACTAAATTATTCTTAATAAAATTGCCATCTTCTTCAATAGCTTTTCGCATAAAAATATTTTAGGAAAAGATCATTAACGATGACCAAAACAGGGCTTTTTACCCGGAAGGACGTCATTGGCGACAAATATAAGATTAGGTTTATGATCTCTTGGTTCTACTCCGGAAAGAATAATATACCTGGATTGTACTATTAATAGATTTTGCAGCTTGCTTTGATTTACTTTTTCCTGGAAAAATTTATGCCATTCAAGTTTTAGATTTTTTAATTTTTTGGACCCTCTGTTAGATTCAAGGATTTCAAACTTTTTTATAACAAATTATAAAAGTCTGTGTTATTGTTAATGGTCACATGTTCAGATTCCTTCTCGCGCTACAAAGAGGCTGCCGTCAATTGATGCTCTTGTCTTCCCTACCTGTTCATTCTTTGCGCAGAAATCCTGTCAATATTGATAAGAGATAATAATAATTAAAAAGGAATTAGTTTAATGGTACAGAGTATAAACTCTCTCAATATGCTGATGATACTAGTTTATTCTTAGATGGCACGTCAGAATCATTAAAAAACACAATGTTAACTTTAAAATTTTATGTCAAACATTTCAGGCCTTTAATATAAATATGGAGAAAACAAAAGTAATTTGTTTGGGTCAAAAAAAATACAGTAGCACAATACTTTGTCCCAGAATACAATTTATCATGGGGAGATAACTTTTTTCACACTTCTTGGAATTAAATTTTTCAGTAGATTTATCTGATATAGTTGATATTAATTATGAAACAAAAATTGAGGAAATTAAAAAGTTTTTTGCTTGCTAGTCAAAAAGAGTTTTAACAGCCACTCGGCAAATTAGTGGTTATTAAAACCCTTGCTTTGTCAAAATTAAATCATTTGATTTTGAGTATTCCTAACCCACCACTAGCAAAAATAAATATTATCCAGCAAATGTTTTTCAATTTTCTATGGAGTGATTCAAGAGATAAGGTTAAAAGAAATATTATATCACAGGAATACAAGTTTGGAGGGCTTAAGAATGGTTTGATCTCAAGTGTTTTATGTTATAGTTTAAAAGCAACATGGCTAAGAAGACTGTTGACAGTTAATTGTAATTTTTTTACATATTGTTAAAAGTGCATGCCCTTTGTTTAAATACATATATAAGATGGTACAGATTATGCAAGGGAATACAATTACATCAAGAAATTAAATGCCTTTTTGGGAAAGATGTGCCTTTACAGTTTTTTTTTAATTTTCTTTCAAATGTAGAGGTGAATTCTTGTTCAGCAAAGTTACTCAGTCAAATTTATGGCATTAAACCCCCAGATGGGCATTTATAAAGTTAGCAGGATCTAGTGTTTGTTATAACAGATGGGTATCTAGGGGAGTATATTTTTAGGGGACCTTATCAATCAAGAAGGGAATTTTACACCTTGGCCAAAATTTTATTAGATATTCAATATTAGAACAAATTATTTTGGAATATCAAAGGTTTTCTTGCCAGTAAATGATTTCCTTTTTGAATAATAATATAAGACATTTACCTAAGAAATCATTCAATAATCCACATTCCTTTAGGTTTGGCTATTATAAATAAAGATAAAAAAAGGATGCAGATCTATATATAGAATGATAAAAAAGAAGGAAGAATACCCAAATTCATTGCAAAAAATGGAAAAATGAATTATATAAGTTTAGGCGATATGAATAACTTGAATTTCAATTTAATATATAGTAATGTTTTTTTTAGAGTAACAAAAGACCCAAAATTGATCTGGTTTCAATACAGAATCAACCATAGAGTTTTAGCCACAAACTATCTTCTTAAAAAAATGAATATTATTACAGAAAATGACTGTACATTCTGCAACATGAGCCAGAAACTTTAATACATTTGTTTTGTAATTGTTGAAACTATTAAACAATTTTGGCAACAATTACAATCATATATCAAAGAAAAATGTAATATAAATTTCACTAATTGGAGTTAATTTTGATATCTTATTTGGGAATGTTAATATAAACATCATCCTAAATAAGATTATTTTGCTAGCGCAAAACAGTACATATACTATAACAGATTGAAGAAAATAAGGCCTTCTTTGGAAATTTTTAAGAAACAAATAGTTTCTATTTATACTACTGAAAAAATACAGTGCCAAACAGCTGTTTCAATATGAAAAATTTGAACGCTCATGGGAAATGTTTAAAAAAATTTAGTAAGTTAGTGAGACTATGTAATTATTGAATTTTTTAAAGTAGTAGACACCCCTTGTTTTTAATTATTAATATTATTAAAGACACTCTACTTACCTGACAGACCTTCCATCAGTGACCTCTACTAATATTTAGAGAATATTAATAACTTGGAAGTAAATCCTCCAAGTTTACACCAACAACCTTTTCTTTTTTACTTTTTAGAGAAGACTTATATAGGTAAATGAAAACATTTTCCTCTGAATTAGATGAATTCTAACCTCAAACTTGTTTTTGCCTTTTCCATATACCTGTTGCTTTATTAAATTCAATAACTTACATGAATATGCAACATTGCTGTGTAGTAATATCTTTAGTATTTTGTTTTAAAATGAGGTTATTTTTACTTTGTTTTTTTTGTAGATATAATTCGAATATAAAGGAAAATGTAAATTCAGCAATAGACTACTTTAAAAATTCACAAAAACCCCATTTTAGCTATTAATAATTATTTTAGCATATCAATATTGTATCTATTTAGTTAAAGTGACATTATGCCCATCCAAAGCAAATAGTGAATATAAACAGTGAAAGTTGAAATACATTTTTGCCATGATTCGTCTCAGTTTTTCAATATATTCCATAACTCTTATGGCTCAAGGAACATTTTGGAGATGTACATGTAAGTTGCTACATCTCTTATAAACATTATGTCAATGTTATAAATTCAGTATAATTGTTTATATTTACCAGCTGAGAAAGCAGTATTGTCAGAGAAGCTGGCAGAAGATAGACCAAGTCGTTTAAAGCGTCAACCTCTGTCTGTATTTATGCCAGGTCTACCAGATGTTCTGAGAAAACCCAGGAAGAAATTGACACCAGAAGAGCTGGCTGAGAGAAAGAAAAAGGTTGTTCAATGATGTTTTTTCTACTTAATGCCCCACCATTCACTGTTATTCAGTTAATATTATACAAATTATTATTTCTTTGAGCTTAGCCAAGAAGGCTGACCTAAAAATTCTTTATAAAAATAAGTACACTTTCATCAAAAGCATGGGTTTTCCCATAATATTTTATAGTTTTCATTCCTGAAATACTGTATTATGTTTATTTACTTTATATTTATATAATAAAGATAAGTAATAGTGGGTTAATGCACCTCTTTCTATGTATTAACTTCAGCAGAACCAGGACACATTTAAATCCCCAGCCTACAAGATGAGGATTTTATGAAAGTCTGAGGGCTTCTACAGATGTTCATGCATAAAAAAGTGCATTAGAGCCATTCCTGCATAAAATTTTATGTCTGATTCAGTAACTTCAAGCTTTTACTTTGTTTTTCGTATAAAAAAAAACAATTTGGATCATAGTAAAATACATGCAACAATGTTGCGTGCTCACATGATTTTATGTTAATGCATGTTTTCTGTAAATGTATAGATGTCTGCACTATTTTTTTTTTATTTTTTTTTTTGCAAGAATAGCTAATAATGTAATTTATCATAATACATGTATAACTATGTCTTTGAAAATTCCAGAGAACTTTACATAGTGATGTATCATTTGGTTTCATAAAACTGTATTTAATGGTACATCTAATGCATGATATGTGTTCTTTGACAGTATACAATACAATGAAACTGAAATGGTCACTTATAAAACTAACAATCAGTCTTTACAACAAGATATATACTAAGTATGATACATTATTACAGCGTGAAGAAGCCGCAGCAAAGAGAGCTAAAGAGGCAGAAGAAAGAGAGATGAGGCGGGCACAAGAGCAAAGAAAAAGGAGGTACATTGTACATGTATCACTGTCAAGTGGATTAATTTTCTCCCATCAGATTTTCACGTTTTTCATAGCATTTTTATGTCTATTGACACTCCCAATATATTTAAATTTCAAGTTGTACATTTGTTTAACATTTAGTGTCTTTCTTATACCTTATATTAAGTGTTTAAAGTTTTTGCATTATTTAAGAAACAAAACAATTGATCTTTTATGAAACTGATATTAATTCTTGTTTTTGCTTAACATAATGAAGTAAAAAAATGTTCAAAAGGATTTTTATACGGGGAATCAAAGGCTTTGCGGTCCCAGGATTTGGTTTGCCCGTCTATAGACTACATGTGTATATTTATAAAAAATCAAATAACAAAAAGTCAAAGAATATATAGATTTGTATACCTATCAATGAAATTCTCAGTGTCAGTTCTAGTTGGGCGCCGCCATTTTCCGATAATGAACAATCACAACTTTTCAGATTAATAATAGTTGTGGATTATTCCGAGGGAAAACAGAAGCGGTGCTTAAAATACTGAATGACACCTTTAAAAACAGAAAAATGAACTTTTTTTTTTAATCAACTTTCCCGTTCAAAGGCTTTGCCTAATTTCATATACATATGAGCCGTGTCGTGACAAAACCAATGTAATACGTTTGCAACCTGCATGGATCCGGACCAGCCTGTGCATCCGAGCAGTCTGATCAGGATCCATGCTGTTCGCTATCAGGTTCTCTACTTGTTAAAGGGTTTGTAAGCGAACAGCATGGATCCTGATCAGACTGCGTGGATGCACAGGCTGGTCTGGATCCATGCTGGTCGCAAACGCATTATGTTGGTTTTGTCGTGACACGGCTCATATAATGTTTATTATAGAGAGGAACTGTGGAAGAAGAATGATTACAATTCATGTAATGTAGAGATTGACGAGACCTCAGATGATGATGAAGGAATGCTAGATGATGACGATATATCAGGGGATGTAACTCCACATGACATACGTTATGTACTAGGGGATGTAACTCATCCAAAGAAAACTGACAGAGAAAACAATATTATTGTCCATTGTGCAGGTTTGATGTGTTTATTTGATGAGAATTTTGATGCCAGGAGATTTTTTTCATTGATTGCAGTCATTGTTTAATGATTGGCCTAGATCTTTTCCGAATTAGAGGAAAATGTAATATGAATATATTGTGTGACTCCTCTAGTGTACCGATTAAATTTACAATTATATCAATATATTTGACCGAAAAACTATTAAAAATGTTTGCTGACATGTTAAGACATTGTTGTAAAAAAATATTTGTTTAAATGTCAGTATATTGTTATAGATGATTCTGGAAACTGGGGTACTGGAGGTTTATTCTCGGCACTGTCAGCCCGATCATCTACACCAGAAGACCAGTATACACTAGCTGGTAAAATGCAGGGTAAGTGTTATATGAAATAGGGAAGTTGTTACTCAGAGAACTCGATAGTAGCTGATCAGCTCTCAGCCTTTGACAAGTATAAATTGGTAAATTTTCAGTGTTTAAAGTTTTTTTATTGAATGTGTGAAGTTAATTTTTGTGTCCAAAGAAAAGCTGTTTGTAATAGTCTTAGGAGCATCCTAATTTAATTTATTCAGTTGTATGGAAGTGATGTTCAGAGCAGGTGTTAAATACTGAAACATAATTTTAGTATTTGGTATGGTGTCTGAATGAAATGGAATCCATTTTTATTAACATAACATTAAAATATATGGACATTAGATATAAGTTTTGTGAAGGATAACTTATGTGTAGAAAATTTTAATGCATATATTTTGACAAATAAAGAAAAGACAGGTATACAGAGAACTCTCCCTTGAAATTTTTTTTTTATCTTAATGTATTGTCACTTATTCTAATATACATATATATATATATATTGTAACAGATTTAGCTCTTGGAGACTGTCATATGGTACCTTTTGATGCTGGTTCCAGCAGTAAAGACAGCAAGGACTGGGTATATATATTCTGTTATGTTTATTCCATTCTTTGTTCCCTGCCATAGGATTTTGTTATGTAACTTGTTATGTCATATTGAATCAAATTATTGTTCATATTTAATGGACGTTTTAGCCTATCCATGAAAATCATTTTAATTATAGGTAAACCATTAACATACATGAATAAATATAATGTTACTTATAAGTTCCAGATACTGAATGTACTCATTATACAGATACTTAAGAAATGTAAATATGTTTTGATTAATAAAAGTCACATTTTCTGTATAAACAAGAATTTTAACTCTTGATATATTTGTTTAACTATGTAACTACATGTATATAACTTCACTGTTAGACAGATTTTAAGTTTGTTTGTATTGTCAATTTTTCATTTATTTTACAGGTAGCACTTATTATAGCCCAACATCGAGACAAGAGGAACAACGTGTCTGGTATAAAATTGTCTGCCCTCAGATATGGACTAGAAAAAGTCTATGTGAAGGCGAAGGAAAACAATGGTGAGTTATTACCTTTGATTAAAATGTAATGTTGTCTTAAAGCATACTTCTGATGTCAATTTCACAACCTTTTCAGAGACAAGTTGCACTGGCATGCTTAGGATGACGTAATTTTACCTTTATGAATGAAGTTGTAATTTCATACGCTGTTCATAGTTGTAAGAAAATAGTTCAGGGTGTAATGACATAAATTTCCATGGAAAATTATTTTATTAAGGTAAAAAGAATTTAAAATTTAATGGAATATGGTAGAATATGCAAGAAAAAATGTCTGACATATGTTTGCAGTTTGGATGGAATACCCGTCCCCCGAGGGAAGGATATTTCGATCTGAACAGCAACATATGACATATATTATTAATCTAGTAGGTTATATTAACATCAAGTCAAGCTGTTATTTATATATTGGTCAAGAGCTTTAAACTGTTATCATTTTATTAATTTCAGCAAGTGTACATCTGCCTCGTATTGGACACACTACTGTAGGTTTTAACTGGTATGGGACAGAAAAACTCATCAAAAAACATCTAGCCTCAAAAGGAATTCCTACGTATATGTATCCTTATATTATAAGTGTTTGATCATACTTTGTAAGTAATCTGAATAGACACTTGATTTCAGTTAGGGGATCCTAAAACCATTGTTTTGCTTATCAAGCTGCCTGTTTGCAGAAAGTAGGTTAGAATTGGACTACTGTTTCTCATTAGGTATGACCAGAAAAATGTCTATATTTTTGACTGTTGAAAACTGTGCACAATTAAAATATTTATCCAAACAAAAAATCTTAATATATATTTATCCATGTTTACTAGTGTATTACATTTGAAATTAGACTAAAAGGTAGTACAGTATTGCTTACGAGCCCTGAGTACTCATAGTCTGGGCCACTTGGTAGCGCTGTTGAGGT